ATGTTGAGCAAACACACACACACACACAGACACAAGTACACACAATGCATTTGTTTTTGTTGCCGCCATCGCTATGGCCAGCTTTATTATTTTGTATGCCCAGCGACGTTGCATTTTTGATCTCAGTATTCAGTTGTTGTTATTGTTGTTGTTGTAGTTTTTTGTAGTTAACGCTTTTGTTATTTTCATTGTTTTATTTGGTGTTAAAACTGTTGTCATAATTATGCTCGCCGAAGAGGTGACAATGAATCATATTTCATGGCGTTGCACATTTTGTTTGCTTTTATTTAAACACATTTTTTAATTTTTAGTTCACAATGAAAACGACAGCTGCTGCGTTAGCATAAAATGCCGCTCTACCCTTTTTCCCCCTCTTATTGCATTGAATTTTTATTTCAATTATTTTTATGACAATTTAATACGAGCGCCATTTAATGAGCGCGCGCGTTTCCTCGTTTATTGTTTAATTGTAATTAAGCATGTGCTTAAGTTGCACTACTATTTGTGTCGTGCTCAACACTTTCTGCATAAACACACACACACATATATACATATAATTATATATACATACAAGCATATATAGATACTCGTATCTAGAGTATCAGCGCCAGAGTGGCGTTCCAGTTTACAAACATTTGCTTACAAGCATGTTTTGCTGTTCGCTCATGTTGCAGTAGCGCCAAGATGCCACGCCCCCCGCCCCTGTCCCTGCCCCTGACCACCTGCCTCTGTCAACGTACTCCATAGCCACTACTCGGCGGCTGTCGAGTTGATGCTAAAAACAACAATTTTGAATAGCACAACATTTAATTTTTAATTTCAAGTCGTTGGTTTTATTAATGGCTGGCATTTGTGCAGCGCTATATCAGCATTATAGTTTTGGCTCAGATTGGACATGCACTGCATTAACTTTATAGCCAAAGCTTAACAGTCTTTACAAATGTTTGCCTCTTTGATATTCTATATCTAAGGATTATAAAGAGAGTGATGGCTAAGCAACATTAGCTCTCAAAAATGGAAATTTGTACATTCATTTGTCGTATTTAGAAATCTCGATAAAAATATATTATATATATTTTTTCATAAGACTTTTCAACAAATTCTGTGAACAAACACAGGTCTGTTTCGGTGTTTAAGTTCAAGTAATAGAATTGGGAAAACTTATTGAACTCAATTCAGTGTAATTTCCTGTCTTCGAAAGACAATTTCTTCATACAATATGTAGTTCTGAAGTTAAGTCGAGAGGTTTGTAAAAATCGAATCTTTTTATCTAACGATTTTAACAAACTCAAAAAGGCCTATTTATAACATTTCAGTGTTTTAAAGCTTGTATTTTTACGAAGAATAAAAATTATCTTAAATTTCTTTTTACCTTTGTATATTTAAAATAAAGTTTCAGAATCATAATATTTATATTAAATCTCGAATTTAAATTGAACATCTTTTTACAAAAATATGAAATATTTTAATTACAATTTGCTCAAATCAGTTCATTTGTAAAATAAATTTCGATTTCTTGCTTTTTCAAATCTTTATTGTTGTATATTTTCTGACTCTTAAAATATTCTTCCCCAAAAATGTAGCCACAAATCAACTATTAACACTTCATTTAGTTTAATTTCCACGCAACTTCCACGCAATCATTGCATAAATTTTTTTCTGCTATTATTTCCATTTGCGTGGCTTAAAAAAGCGCCAAGAGCAAAAAAAGTTGCAGCTATAAATCAAAGAACTCATCGCCGGCAGACAACCGCTTTAGCCTTTTGGCGACTTTTCGCGTGCTAACAAGGCCCAGAACCTTGGCCGGCACAACTGACTGGCGTGAAAATTTATGCTTTTTTCTTTAGAATTTTCACAACAAAAAAATAAGTTAAACAAACCTCCACTCAATGTCTTTCATTAAAAAAAAGGTCCAAGACCGATGCCGTATAAAAATATATTTGCAGCAGTAGTTAAATAACAGTTTTTTTCGCATAGTTGTCAGCGGCCCGTTGTTTAATTACCCTAATTAAGATTATTAATTGCTCTGGCTTGCCAGGGGGTAGTTATCGCTATGATTCTTGTTGTTGCATGTGTTGGGGTGCAAATGGGCCAAAACCTCTAGGCACAAGGCAAAAAGAAAACAGTTTCTGCAATCCGTGCAGCAAAAACTTTCAATAAACAAAAGGCAAAAACAAGAGAGTGGAAGGTTTTCATGGCATGTAGAAATGGATATGGAAAAGTTATATGTGTACGAGTATATGTTTATGAAATATGACATTACGAGCAAAGTTTTTGCGTTTTAATTTAACTTTTGTGGCCAATGAGAGTTCGCAGTTTTTGCACTCGAATCGAAAAAGTTAATGCGTTTACCTTTCACGGTTGGGTTTAACAATTGGGGGACGGACGCACTTTAAGGATAATGCACGCAACGCACTCTCCATTTAAACCGCAGCGGCGGCAACAGCACGTCAACATATGTATATCGGACAACAATAGCAACAAGGATGTGGCTACTAACTGGCACAGGTGTCCATGTCGGTTGCACATCAACACCCAAAGGCGCAAGGATTGCGAATCCCGTTGCCTTTTACACTTTCACGTGCTGCCGTGCGCATTTCATTGACTGCCCAACAGCAGCAGCAACAGCAGCAACAACAGCAACAAGGTCCGGGGCTAGGGCATGTCGTTGGCTCTTTTCATTTTCTCAACACGTAAAGCAAACACGTGACCAGGCGACAGGACAACGCAGACACAGACACCGGCACCGGCACTGCCACTGCCACCGAGTCGAGGCTAAAGAAAGGCAATGGAAGCGGTAGTTGTAGGCGCAAATTGCAAACAGCCAGCAACAGCAACAACAGCTGCAACACCCACCCGGCCGAGACCGAGTCCGAGTCCGAGCCCGACGCACACATAAACTTGCGCTTATATCCTTGGCTATATGGCAACAGAGTCAGAGTCAGAGACAGGAGTACGGAGCGGAGGCCCCTAAAGCCAACCAAGTGAAGCGTGTGCCGTACAAGTTGGCGTCGGTGTTGCTGCTGTTGTTGTTCTTGCTGCTGCTGCTGCTGCTGCTGGTGTGTACACAATATTCATATATCACAAGGATAAGCGCAATGCAGCAAACGTCCTTCTAGACGCGCTGCTGACTGTGTGAGTTGGCGGCACTGCACTGTACTGTTCCAGCCATAGCGATGAAGCATATGGGGTGTTGGGTGGGAAATACAGCTGTGCGCGTGACAAACAAATATGCCTCACGATCAAGCAAATTTACAAAAATAGGCTTTCTTGCATTTCATGATTGAATGTTTTTATGTGATTGTAGATACTTTTTAAAGTTATTAAAAAATAATAATAGTAATTATAAGACATGAACGTTATTCCAAAACTAAGATTTTTCAAAGATCCTTTTAATGACCATAAAAACTAGTGAAACAATCTGCCGAGACTTATCTATAAATATCTCCTTTTTCTTTTGTTTTACTTTTCTCAATATTATTTATTGCATTTTGTTCAATAATTTAATCCAATATTAATGATATTTTAAAATGATTTCAATTTAAGCAGAAAAGTTTTGAAAGACTTGTGAAGCTTTTAATTTCAAGTCGCTGGTATTTAAACATATTCCGAATTATAATATTAATTCGTCTTTAATTATTAGTGTAATGCTTATGTTTATTCCTATCTATTTACTAGTGTGATGGTTATAAGCCCTACTACTTGGCTTACCTTCCCTTATTTTCCGGGAAGTTAAAAAAAAACGTCAGATATGTTAGCATTAGTTTTTCACGAATGAGCAATCACGCACGCACTCACGCACAGCTCTAGAGGGTAGGCAGGTGGAGCTGGTGGTGGTGCTAAAGTGTTTTTGTTGTTGTTGGCGATGGCGATGGCGATGGCACGTCGACAGTTGCGAAAAATATTGGCTAGCAAGCTAAAGTAAAGTTGCACTTCATGTGTGTAACTTTTAATTATTTGCGAATGTTGGCGCCGTCCGCCGCAACAACAACAACGAGAACAACAAAAACAAAGATGGGACTGTGGAGGACCATATCTAAGTAGCAAGAGCGGCCTGTCTGCCTATCTTCTGGGCTTAGACAACGCCATCATAGGTTTGTCTGTTGTCATTCATTGATTTCTGTTTGCTTGGACTGGCACGGCTGTGCCACTGCCACCGCCACCGCTGAGTGTCTGTTTGGCCAGCGGTCAAGGCAAACTACAGGCGACAACAATAAGTAGGGAATGTCTGCAGTAGGAGTTTGGCTTTGGCATCATAAATTTGCGCGCCATAAAATCTGCTAGCAGAGCAATAAAAATTCCCGAACGGAGCGCGCAAAAAGCAGCAGGAGCACAAAAACTGCAATGACAACCGACGACGACCAATGACTATGAAGTTAAAGTTCCTAGTCGGGTGGGGCTCGCATAAAACTAACGCAGCGTAAACGGTTTCCAGGGCTTCACGCTGGCAGAGGGGGCCTGGTGATGCTTTTTGGCAACGCCAGCGAAAATATTCATCTTATTTATTTGTTGAGTGCAAGCCAAGACACAAAAAATTCATTCGAAAATGTTGATGCCTGACTGATTGGCAGAATTTATGCATGCGAAGGGGAGACACTGTCCGCTTTATGTTGGCAACGATCAGCAGTGCGTAGGTGCGACGTTTTACAGCACTGTCTTTTCAGCAATTGGCGAAGCTTCTAGCACGGCGAATCAACATTTTCAATTTGATTTTTTAGTGCATTCTGTGATAAACTGTGCATTTATTAATTGATTAATTGAATTATTTCCTGCATTATGCTTAAACTAGTGTTAATGGTACATATGTGTTGTGTTTAATAATAATTGCAATTTTTCCAATTTTTTCCATTTCGTTTCTTTGCAGCCGAATTTGTCGCGCAGTCGTCAGAGCGCACGCAAAAACTATCAGCCGCGCAAGCTCATTCTCTCAACCACGCCTACACATAACGTTGACCTAATGACGATGGCCGAAGGTACCGACCCTATGGGGCACCACCATCATGCCGCTGGCAATCACAGCCAATATCATCCCCACCACCATCCGCACTCGCATCCTCATGCGCACGCGCACGGCCATGGCCATGGCCATGGCCATCATCAGCCGTTGCCGCCAACGGCCCAGCAATATGCGCCGTACGCTCAGCTCCAGTATCCGCTGCCCCAGCACTTGCCGCTCGCCCTCAGTCTGCACCATCAGGCAGCTGCGGCGGCAGCGGCGGCTGTGGCCTCCGCTGAGCAGCACAACAACAATCAGCCCTTTGTGGCCAACAATAATGTGCCATGGAAACAGCGCAAGCGCAAACGTCTCTCGGCCGTGCTCGACAAACTGCATCATCACAACAACAACAACAACAACAACAATAACAACAGTAATAACAACAACAACAACAATGCTGTGGCATGCAAGGCCGAGCCCATGGACATGGAGGATGAGACGGCAGCGGGTGAGGCAGCGGACGAGGAGGAGGAGGACGCGAAGTCGCATTGCGACAATGAGGCTAATTATATAAAAGGCGATGCAAAGTCTGCCAAACGCTGCAATTCCAGCGCTCCCCGCTCCAGCACCAGCGGCGACGATGACGAGGAGGGCGAGGCGGAATTATCCGCCGAAGAGCTCTCCCACTGCACGGACAACGATAGTCCCCGAATAAGCATGAGTCCGTTGCAGCTGATGTCGCACGATGGTGTGGTGACGACACCAGCGCCTCCTAATGCAGCTGCCGCCGCTAATGCTGCCGCCGCAGCTGCTGCTGCTGCCGCTGCCAAGGAGAATCCGCTGCATGTGGACATCAAGACTGAGCATATGCCCAATCCGTATGATCGCTACTTTCCCATACCATCGCCACTGTTTGGCTACTATCTGCACACCAAGTACTTGAACGAAGTGTTCCGGCGTCGTCATGATCTCTATCCCTCCCCACTGCAGCACACACCCTCGTCGATTGCCTCCTCGCATCCCGACGAGACTTCACCCACGAATCAGAGCAAAACGGTTAGCTATATGCCGCCTGCTTTGGCCAGCTCTTCGCCGCCGCCCGCCGTGTCATCGGCGCTGCCCTCTCCGCCGCGCAGCGAATCATCTGTGACGACAGCTCAGGTGGTGCGCAACTCCAGCCCCAAGCCGGCGAAGAAATCGTTGAGCAAGCCCATGGCACCGCCGCAGGAACGTCCGTTGGATCTCTCGGTGCGCAACGATGGCGGGCAGACGCCCGAGCACAAAAAGTACAAATCCCCATCGCCGCTGCCAGCAACGAGCGCCTCCACCGCCTCTATGATGCTGGCACCGCCACCACCCACAAGTCTGCACCAATCCATGTCGTCGGCCATGAGTGCGGCGAGCAGCTTGGAGAGCATGAATGCATTATCGCCAGCATCGAGCACACACTCCAGCACCTCATTGACCAGCACCACACCAACATCGACCATAGCACCACCAGCTGCCATGTCACCCTATGCCATGACAGCAGCTGCTGCTCATGCTGCTGCTGCCGCTGCAGCGGCCGCCATGATCAAGCTCGAGATGCCAATGCACCCAATGCATCAACATGTGCCGACAACGACAGTGGGTGTGCCCGTGATTAAGGGCGATGTGGCCTCACCGACCACCAAGGAGACTGTGGCCTGGCGCTACAATCTGGACGTGTCGCCGGTGGTGGAAGAAATGCCACCCGGCTCGGATGTAGCCTATGTGTGTCCAACTTGTGGGCAAATGTTCTCGCTACACGATCGGCTGGCCAAGCACATGGCCTCGCGCCACAAGTCGCGCAATCCTGCCAACGATATTGCCAAAGCGTATTCCTGCGACGTCTGCCATCGCTCCTTTGCACGCTCCGACATGCTCACGCGCCACATGCGACTGCACACCGGCGTCAAGCCGTACACGTGCAAGGTGTGCGGTCAGGTCTTCTCACGCTCCGATCATCTATCCACGCATCAGCGCACACACACCGGCGAGAAGCCCTACAAGTGTCCACAGTGTCCGTATGCCGCGTGCCGGCGTGACATGATAACGCGCCACATGCGTACACACACGCGCTACGAGTCACGCGGTCGTGAGGGTCGTGACAATGCCGGAATGGAGCCAAAGTCTCCGCTCCCATTGCTGGACATGAAAATGAATTTGCCGCTGCTCTTGCAGAATGACGAGCTGATGAACAAGTCGCCGTTGGGTGGTCTGGGCGGACCCATGCCCATTGTGGTGAAGACTGAGAGCGCCTAACGGTATCTCTATGCTGCAGCGACGCAGTTCATGACCTTCTGAAGTGAGTGAATGTGAATGTGGTGGGAAAGAGAAGGGTGAAGAAAACGAAGAGGTGGTGAATCGATGAGAACAATTTACAATGAAGCTATGCATGTCCAAGCAAGAGCCCCAGCTTCCGAGCTTAGTGCGTTCGCTTAGACAAAGCAGAAGAAGAAGAAGACGAAGTTAAAGAAGATGAGGAAGAATAGCGAGCAAGAAGTTGAAGAAGAAGAAGTAGAGCAACACTGAAAATCTCTCTGCGAAGACTGAGAACCTAATTACTACCTATAATTAACACAGAGCATAGGTTTATATCATTTATACAATATTATTAATACATCAGATCTGTACTCATTTTTGCGTACCGTACGTACCGTTACTTAAAAATACAGAAACACGCACACATAAACACATAAACACACACACATACACACACAGCGAACTCAGACCACCACCCAACGTATTAGGAGTTAGTTGTCTTAGCATAGCAGTACCAGGCGCCGTATCAGGCCGTACACGAAAGCCGTAGACATAGCTAGTTGTTAGTAGAGTATTTTAGACGGAGTTGTTTTCTAGAGTGTAGAGTATACTTGTAGATTGGTAGTAGGGGGGAGAGCAGAGAAGCGTACAATACAGCTAGCAATTCCATGTTCCACAATTAGTTTGTAACGTCTGGGAGAGGCCACAACTCCAACGCAGCAACGCAGCCAACATGTGCTAGAGCGAGATAACAGTATCTTTGCCCCTCAAGCAAACATGTTGCTGCGTGCAGAAAAAAAAAACAAAAAAACTTTTGGTTGTGCGCATTTGCGGCATTTTAGCCTCTTAAGCATTTTTATAATGAATTGAAATTATTAAACTGTAATCATTGAGAATTTTACACACAACCTAATATAATTTCCTAGATCGTTTTAATTTAATTGAAAGCACAGCGGACAAACCACAAATTAAGAACCACAAAACATCAGCCCTAACTGTACTTTATTTTAATTTAATTTATTTTAGTTTAATATTTAATAGGCAGCAATGCACAAACACATTTAATTTTAATGGCTACCACATAAAAGACAAAAACACTTTGTATTAAATTTAATTTAATTTTACACTTATTAGATATTATTATTCTTAAAAAAACACACAAAAACAAAAAAGACAAAGAATTCTCCCTAGGGCACAAAAAAAAAACACAAAAACATTTCGTACGGACAAGCGGTTAAAAATTTTAAATTATTATCTCTGCGTTTTTTTGTTTAACAAAATTTCATTGCATTTTGATTGCTTATTATTTTTTTCATGAAATGAAATAAAAACTCTTGTTCTTTCTAGCGTAATGTTTTTTATAAATTTGTATTTATGTTTACAAACAAACCCCGCAATTCTGAGACACATTTTTGTAGCTCCAGTTGATGATGAAGCAAAAGTTTATGTTGACAAATCGTTCAAGTTTTAAAGCCGCACTGATGATGATGAGAGAAAATTTTTGACATTTGTTTCAAGTTGAATTTTTGTTATTTATTATATTTGCTGACGTATGAAATTAAATTAATTTAATTTAATTCTAAATAAATTATTAATTTATGTTATAGTTGGTTATGATTAGTTTTTAGCTAAAGTTTTTGACAAAATAAAAAAGAAAACATCAAGGCGTTAATCGTCAATGTAATGAGCACAAAAACTACAATTTTTTATTTCTCTTATGCATTGGATTTTCAATATTTTCAGTTGCCCTACAAGAAAGGGTTTTACACGTATTCTTTTTAAGAAACATTTTATATCCATGGATCAATTATTCACTGATGAACTTCTTCTATATTTTATTTTCTGTCGGACTTGTAAGCTTAATTCAAAAAGCTTGCCTTTAATTCTCGAAAAGAACCCCATAACACCCTGTATTATTTTTGAAGAGCATGTGATAGTGTGATATTATGAAGTGAAATAGAAAAGAGTTTTGAATGAAGTCTATTTAGGAGGACTTCGTAGATCCGTACAAGTCAGCAGGAGAGCTCAATTTTAAGAGACGTCTTACTGATACTCTACATACTTTCGATTCGAAATGAACTCAAAAATTTAACAGCTCCAAATGAAGATTAGTTTGTGGAATTTAAAATCGATTGAGGACAAGCTCCAAGAGTCATATAATGGATGAATATTACGTAAGGTGCAGCAAAAAATGATGTCTATAAAGATTAATGATCTATATTTTCGACTTCATAACTAGTTTACAAACACGTGCTTTTGATTAGGAATAATATAATGGATGATTAATCACATTGCAGTTTTCTGTAAATGACGTGCTATTGAAGGTCGTTGCGAATATTAAGTTATGGTTTATCGATAGCCAAGAGGGACCACTGAAGAATAATAGTGGTTGAGAAATGCTTTTATTTTTAAAAATACACAACATTTAAGTATGAATCACTGATCAGTGGTTATTGCACACACATTTTTCCAGTTTGCTGAGGAGAAGCCTAAGTTAAGCATTTCTTAAATTTTTTGTTATTAGCAGAAACAAGCAGGCAAAATCATGGCGCCGGAAACTGGCTTACAAGCTTTTAGGCAATTGAAAGCGCTTACAAGGCACAGGCATGCAAAAAGAAAAGAAAAGCCAAAACAGTAACAAGCACACACTCCCCAAGACGATGTCGACGTGGAGGAGCCATGAAATTGCAGTCTGGCACGCAGCAGACGAGGAACGACTCAGGCAGGCCCTTCCGCCCCCACTTTTCTCAGCTCCTTGGCTCCGGCAAAAGTATTTCGAAAGTTTTTCTCACGCTTTGCCACTTGTGGGGGTGGCCCGGCCCGGCCCGGCCCGATGACGCGTCGCGACGGTCGAAACACGAATACTTCCTTCTGGGCGCTTAATAGCCAGCCAGCACGCCATGCAAATGCAGTGTGTGGGTGGCGGCCCATTCAACGTGGCGTGGTTGGCGTGGGTGGGCAGAGACTGAAGGACGAATGGAAGGGAGGGAGGGACCATTGCGACTGCTGCAATGCAGTTTGCGGCTAATGTTTGACCTTGTTTTGCAATGACTAAATTAATTCCTTAATAAGTGCCACTGACGCTGACTGTAGGAAGAGGGCGGGGCTACAGGGGAGGGAGGGGGTGCGGGACTGTGGGCGCTTGTAAAGCAAACACGAACTGCAGACATGCGGTGGCCGTCGCGCCCCTCCACGACCTTTGTTGACTCCAGTGACTCTCTGTTGTGGCGCAGTTTTTGAGGTAATTGTGGCAGTAGTTGTGCAATTAATTTCGTGCCCCCTTTTCTGTGCTCCAATATAGTACGAGTCAGCAGCTATAGCTGTATATAGTACTTACTTGTATTTGTGTGTTTTTGTAATTAAGTAATGAAAACTTTTGGGCAGCTTTAAGGCGGCGGCGATGGCGATGGCGGCACGAATTTCAACGCAGCCACGTTAATTGACAGACGAGCGGACTCGTGCATAAATCACAGACACATAAGTAGCCTAGAAAGAGGCGACCAAAGCGACGTGTGGCATTTGCTGCATGTTGCACTTTATCAACACAATGGGGGCCAGTCAGCCAGTCAGCCAGCCAGCAATCTCGCCCACCAGTCAGAGGAGTCGTGCGCACAGTGGTTCCATTTAACACTCAGATTTCACTTGGCACCAGAGATGAATCAGAGAAACCTTTCCATAACTCTAGTTCTGCTATTTGTTTAAAAAGATGCATTTTATAAAACATAATGAATTCAAGAACTTCAGAAACTATACAAAGTGTCATTAAATAATACCTGCAACAAATAAGTTGATTTTAAAACACTTTTCTACCTACATTTTTTTGATTGCTCCTTTGATAAGTCAGTCATGTTAGAAAACTTGATCAGTCGGTGGGAACCCAATTGCTTTATTCCATTTATTTGTTTCCAGTTTATTTGATCTTTCACAGCATAAGGAGTTTTAGCAAACTTTGCTTTCTGTACTTGATGTTCTTCCTTTAGTTTTTAAGGAGGGACTGCCCCTTAGAAAGATTGGTATTTATTAATTTATTATTTGCTTAATTGCCTTCAAATATTATAGTCTGTCTTAGAGCTAGCTTTGTTTTATTATTTACCGACTTGAGACTTGCTTAAGTCTTTGCATCTGAGAAAGGCATTCTTCAAAAGATTAGATAAAATTTGGACTTGGAAAACTAAGCATACTTTATAATATATTAAATCTTTAAACTATGAGCCCTTCTTGATTACAGGAAGCAGCTAGTTGATCGCTATTTAGTAACATAGAACTACAAGTAGTATATGAATTTTAGATTGTCTTACAGGTTTTATTTCAAGTAATTTCTAGTTTAGACAAAGGGGATTTTGCAGAGTCATCCCAAAATTCACAACCTGAATGTTAAATGTTAAATGGTTTGTGTTGACAGAGCCACAACTGAATAATAGTTTTATTGAAACATAGAGTTTCCTCTCTAATACTTTGCTCCGCAGGTAGTCCTACTTAGTGGAAGAACACTCTTTCGGTGGCAAACACAATCCATCTATCTAATAATTTATTTGAAATTAGCTTCGTTTATTATAGTACATGAAGAGTTCATGTCTGATGCTGGCCACTGTGCGAGTTGTCTCTCGGACAATGTGTGTGTGTGACTTATGGGCCATGGCAACTGCAGTTTGTCAACGGTGCTGGCTCGGCTGGCAACTGTATTACAGTTAGTAGCGGTGTGGTAGTATGCATTTTTTGGCCAGAATATAATGCGTGCACTAGACGCGTGTCTGCAACTGCGTCTCCTGTCGCATTGCATAATACCGGACCGGGAGCGTCTCTCTCCACAAGGCTGTGCATCATTTCGGCTGGCAGTGCCTGCCGTAGCGGTGACACATCGGGCGGTACATTATTTGTAGCATGGCCGGATTTTTGCAGGCATAAATCTCTAAACAAGCGCGCGTGTCGTGCGTTTATTATCACTTCCGTCTGGCCATAGAGGCTGCTGGGCTGCTGGGCTGCTGGGGTGTTCGGGTGCTAGGCTGCTGGGCTGGCTGGCCAACAATTTGGGAGATTGGGAGGTAATGTCAGTTAGCCGTAAAACCAACTCCTTTGTCTTTGTGGCTGTGGCTTTTTGCGCGAAATTTATCGCCATCATTTGTAATTGTAGCGCGAAAATTGAGTTTGAAGTTTGTTGCCATTTTTTGTTGTCGTTCTTTTTTTTTTTTTTTGTTTTGTTTATTGCTCTGCTTCCAATTTGAACTTTATTGTTTTCATCAACATAATTCTTTGCTACGCTTTGGAGAGCGTCCAAATGATTGTTGCGCTAAGATTTACGGTTGCAACTAGGTGGTCCTGGCCCTGGTCCTTTCTTACTGACGCACTAAGCTCGTATGCAGGACATGCATGCAGGAAGTGCTCGTAACATGGCTTCAGAGTCTGTATAAATAATATATTTAATGGTTGAGGCTCTGGGCAGTTTATTGTATAGTATATAGTATATTTCCGTCACACGGAAGTGCCTTAACACAACATTTTTGATACGCATTGAAATAAATTTTACATATTGTAAAGGAAAACAAAACGAAACGAAACTAAACAAAACATTTTTCAACTTATTGCATTGTACATTGAGCTGTTTATACAGAAACTAACATTTTTGACTAATTATAAATACAATCTAAATATATATAAATATATTTACCATAACATATACGTATTTTAAATGCATATTGTAAGAAGAAAGCACTCGAAACAATTTTCAATTTAACGCTTCTAAGAAGTTATAGATTTGGGCATTCAATGCGGCTTTATAAGCATAAAAACCAAATACTCAAGTATTTTAAATGGTAAAATTATTATTAAATAAGAAAGAAATAAAGAAAAATAAAATAAACAATTTTACTCAAATTGCTTCCAAAAATATTTTTATAACGCTTTTCGAATTTTATCCAAATTGAATCTAATTACAAAAACAAATCAAAAGGCTAAACAACTTTAAAGTAAATAATAAATAACAATTTATTGCAATACACAAAACAAAAGACTTTTCCAGCTCTTAGCTTAAATTTGCCTTTTAGATCTAAGAATTCAAATTGCAATGAACTAATTAGG